CACTGAGCTACGCCAGCCAGGGATAATTTAACGTCTTTGATAAAGGTCTATTCAGATTTAATATTTCTCCTTGAGTTAATTTTATCATTTCTGTCTACAAATTTTCCCATTTCAACAGTTGTCAAATTGTTGGCATGAGGTTGTTTAGAATATTCCTTTATAATCCTTTCAGTTTTAGTAGGGTTCAGAATGTTTCCTCTTTCATTCTTAGTTTTGGTAATTTGTATCTTTTCCCCTTTTTTCTTGGTCATTTTACTAAAATTTCATCAATTGCATAGATCTTTTCAAAGAACCAACTATCACTTCCCTTGATTTTCTTGTTTTGTTGATTTTTGAAAGTTGATTCTGCTATGGTCTCTGACTTTGAATTAGGAAATAATTTTTCCCAAGCAAATTAGTCAAAAATTTATAGATTTTCTTTTAACTTTAATTTCTTTTACTTAAAAATGAGTAACGGCATAAATAGAAAAGCAGTTCACATTCCAGATTCCACTTTTATATGGATACGAAGATTTCAAATTCCTTCTTCAGTAAACTGGCTGAGCCATTGGAAAAAAAATTGAAATATATGCGCCTGTATAAATTTCACTACCAACTTATGGCACATTCAGGGCCAAATTATTATGGGGCACTCGATATGTAGTTTTATAAATAAGTCCTGGTTAGTTATGCAGTGAACTTGGCGCTGTCTCTGTATCAATGGTAACGTCGAAGTTATTTCAAGACCTCTTAATGCCTTTCCTTTTCTAAAAAGGATTAAAGCTTTTTGTGATTTAGGACCTCAAAACATTTTCTTTTCTTTTTTCATCTGTCTCTTCCTTTTCATCGGCATTGTGTATCAGAAATATGGAAGTAGATTCTCAGTTGGCTGGCTGCCTCCAGGTTGTCTTCCCTTTCATCTACCCTTCACACCACAGCTAGGTCAATTTTCCGTCTCCTTGTGGGTCTTCACGTCGAGTTCCTCTCATCTGTGTGAATTACTTTTTGACCCAACTCCATCCCAGTAAACAAGATGTTGAGTTGGATTTTTCCTGTTGTTTGGAAGTTATACCTAAGGCCCAAAACTGAGAAGGTAAGATGTGAAGTAGCCCACTTCTAGATTCAAAGAGCCCCTACAAGTTTAGGCCCTGAAAGACTTGTGTTAAAAAGGCTAGAACCAGATCTGTGATGTAAATCACCTTTCTATCCTGAGGTGATGCAGGCACGAATAGGACTGAGGGAGAAATTTGCCTGCCCTGGGGGAGCACAGTCCTCTTGACCAGCATTTGAATACTAACACTAATGCATTTTACTGACTGGGAAGGTGTGGGATCTGCTCAAGATTCTTCACGGGAATTGCTAACCAGAAGGAGAGGAGGACACGAGAGAGCAGTTATTAGGGGAAATGAAGTTATTTATTTTTACCCCAATGAATTGAGATTTCTACAAACCTAATTTCATATACAAAAAAGGACTTTATTGTCATAATTTCTCAACTAATATTTGTTGATTGCTTCCCATGTGTCCGGCACTGTTCTAGGCAAAGGGGATACAGCACTGGAAAACATTAAGTAGGGTCCCTGCCCTCCTGGAACTTACACGAGTCTAGGAGTAGTGCTGGCTGCAAGCGGATGCTCAGTGTCATCAGAGGTATTTTTTCCCCATCTCTCAGATTTTTATCCTTTGCTACATAGGCCTAACTCATGGGCAGACTCTTCCCTCTTGAAGGCCATGTGGCCAGCAGTGTAGCAATTCTAATAGGAAGAGAGACTGTTTTTGCCGGCCATTCCAGTAGAGTATCCAGAGGGTCTCATTGACCTAGTTGGGGCCCATGCACATCTCTGAGCGGACTGGCCAAGTCTAGGTTACTGGTGAGGCCACCACAAATATCTGTGCAAATGTTCAATTCAAAGAGCACAAGCAGGGACTGAAATCCAATTCAGGAATACTTACCAATCCTTCGACTGGTGCACTACTACGCCCTCTGGAGCGGGGGCCCTTTTTGTAATTCACACTGAGGCACTGCAGACACTAAGCGGCCTGGTCACGTGCTCACCTCAGAGCAAAGGTGAGATGGTGTTATCCTCATATGAACCAGATGACCTGAGGGTGGGGAAAGAACAAATGGGGTGCCATTGCCAGAAGACAGGACAAGGGATGCTGGGCAGGCAAAACTACAACTTCAAAACCATGACAGAACCAGGCAGTCCATTCCTGGAAGCAATACTGTATATTACTTCCAGCCAGAAATTTGATTAGGGTGATTCAGAGTGGGGAAGCAGACTTTAGAGACGAATTAGTCCTTCTTCTTACCCCATCCATGAATTTCATTTACATAATGCGGCTCTTAGTACAAATGAAATGAGTCAGCATCAGGGAAGACAAATTGAAATATGACTTCCATACCAAAGGCAATTACTTTTCTTTCTGTCAGCCTCAGTGAGTAAGTGATCTTCTAAGCAGTAGAAATTTTTTGAAAATAGAGGTCAGCATCCAGTTAGGTCATAAATATCTGTTGTGTACAGGATTTTTTAAATTGTGTAAAATACATATAACATACAATTGAGCATCTTAACCATTTTTAAAAATGTATTCATTTTAGAGAGGAAAGGGAGAGAGAGAAACATTGATTTGTCCACTTATTCATGCATTCATTGGTTGCTTCTTGTATGTGCCCTGACCAGGGATTGAATCCACAACTTTGGTTCATCAAAGCAACGTGCTAAAACCAACTGAGCTACCTGGCCAGGGCCTACCATCTTCACCGTTTTAAGTGTACAGTTCAGTAGTGTAAAGTGCATTCATGTTGTTGTGCAACCAATCTCTAGAACTTTTTAAATCTTTTCCAAAATTGAAATTCTATACCCATTAAACAACAATTCACCTTTCCCCACTCCCCTTACTCCATAACAACCATCATTCTATTTTGTTTCTTTATGAATCTGATTACTCTAAGCACCTCTTTGAGTATGCTGAATCATTCAGCATTTGTCTTTTTGTAACAAGCATTGTTATCTCCTCCCTGCTCCCTGGCCCCAGAACAGGCCAGGCTCACTACTAAAGAGATTTGGAGCAGGAGGCCCTGGGTCTGCCCTTTTTCTCTGCCCCCACTCCAACAACCTGGAATGGGGGTGGGAGGTATGGACTGGTTCTGAGATCCTCTGGATCGTGCCCCTCTTTTCAAGGCTTAATTCCCATCCCATTGAGGGGTGGGCAGGCTATAGGTGGTTAGTCAGAGGCCTCCTTATGTAACTGGCCTTCAACCTGGTGGTGGAAAGTCTTCTTTCTTCCTGCTTAGCATGGTGCCTGGCTGTCCTGAGGCTGTTCTTGGAATCAGCAGGATCTTCCTAGGATCCCTTGAGGAGGAGTAGCCTTGCTGCCTTTGGCTCATCCAGCTCTGTCTCCAAACCCTCTTTAGCAGGATGACTTCATAGGCAACTCCCAGCTCCTTCCTCCCCCTGTAACCTCTGAGCTCTTTCCTATGGGAGTGGTGGTGATGATCTTTCCCAGGCCTCAAAGGCTAGGGAGAACTGCAGCGAGTTACCTCTATCCTTTCCTCAGCACTTCCACTGCTGCTCCTTCTCATCTGTTGGCTTAGATGGCTCCAGAAAAGCCCAGGTGTGACTTAGTCAGTGGTGTCCACATGTATCCCCAGACTTGAAGGGAGCAGGAGAGATGACCCCTATCAGAATCTTTCAGTGACTGTCTTGGTGCCCTCCATCAATGGCAGCACCAGGAAAACTCTGTATCTTCCCAGCTGTCAAGTGAGGAAGCAGTCCTCTCTTCTTGCCTCCCCTTGAAGGCTCCACCCACTGACATTACTTGTCCTGGGTGTGGGGTGGGTGCTCAAGGCAGGCGGTAGAAGAGGGACATGTGGGCAGGGAAGGAAGTAACATCCTGTTGCTCTGACATATATATGTACATATATACTTATATATAATATGTTCTTATGTGTGTCATCTATATATCTGTATCTCTTCCTGGATGGTTGTGTAAGAAGTAGGAAATAGTAACTGCCTAAATTAAGGAGTTAGGAGTTAGCAAGACAGTTTCCACCATATGTCCTTTTATATTGTTTGAATAATATTTTAAGGATAAAACCAATAATGTAAGTAATGAATCCAAGAGATTTATAAATCATAAAGCATAATGCAAATAATAGGTTTTTATTGTTACTATTGCATTATCTATCTATGGCAACATTAAATAAAACATCGGGTCTTGGATTTGTTAATTGTGAAAATGCTGACCAAGTTAATTTAGAGTCCATTTTCTTTGAATATTTAATAACATTTGCAAATACTCAAGGTGAGAGGAAAAATATAAAAAATTATATGTGTATTACAGGTTTGTGTGTTCCCTGTGCAAAACACACCACAAAGAGACTGGAAGGAAGCTTCACTAGCTTTGACATGGAGAGGGGTAATAAATGAAGTATTAATTCTGCTTTTCTGTATATCTTACATTTCCTTTTTTTTGAACTGTCATTTTATGTTTTTCTTTTTCTTTTCTTTTTTTGCCAGAGAGAAGGGAAGGGGGGAGGAAGAGAGATAGAGCTAGAGAACATCGATGTATAGAGAGAAATACATGGATCCATTGCCTCTTGCCTGCCCCCAACCGGGGACCTGGCTCACAACCCAGGCATGTGCCCTGATTGGGAATCCAACCAGCGACCTTTCAGTTCACAAACTCGCTCAATTCACTGAGCCACACCAGCCAGGGCTGTATATTTTACATTTTCTACAACAAATTAGTAAATTCTATTTTGAAAGAAAAAAGTCATAACACTTCAAACTTGGAATTTTTTTTAAACTTCATTACAATGATTTGTTGTAAGATAGGAGAAAAGTCACCACCGCGGGTCGTGGGAAGGGGAACCTTGGAAGCCTCCTCCCAGGCTCGGAAGTGGATTAAGGACTACAAGGAGAGGCGAGAAACTTGCCGACCTCCTGTAGGGCTAGAGAGGCCACGAAGAGCCGAAGGAACTTCCGGGGGCGGGCTTTCTGGTCCTTTGGCGGCGGTGGGGGTGGGGGGGAATGTGGGCGGCGTGCACCGTGAAGGTTCGCGATTGCTGGGCTTCCACCTCTGTTACTTTGAAACGGTGCCTGAAATTGGGGATGACCATGGCAAAGAGCAAGTTCGAGTACGTGCGGGAATTCGAGACGGACGACACCTGCCTGCCCCACTGCTGGGTAGTGGTGCGGCTGGATGGCAGGAATTTCCATCGGTGAGTGAGCGCGGCTCTGGGCCGCGCCGCGCGCCGACGCTTCCGGGGAAATCCAACCGGGATCGCGGGTCCTGATTCCTGGTCACCGGAGTAACGCGGCAACCAATGAGCGCGCGGCATTGAGCATCATTCTAGGTGCTGGCTGTGACATGATGGGACGCGAGCTGGTGTGGGTGTTAAAGGCGACAGGGTGTCCCGCTGGTGAGAAGCGGGCTTTCCACAAGGACCTTGTGGAAAAAGCCGCTCTCGGCCACGGTACTTCGGCTCTTCAGCCAGCTGCCGAGCTGTTTTGTTCGAGAGCTGACTGTTCAGAGGCTCACTTAGGCCTTGCTGTGCGCAACACTTGACAGCATGTTCTTGTTTCATTATCAGTAGCAGGATACATGGACTGGGCTCAGGAGAAAAAAAAGTCAAAGAAGACAGAAGTGTAATAAAGGTGGGAATACAGTTTTTTAAAAAGTGCTATTTTAGTAATGATTATTGTAACAAACACTTTTTGAACACTTCTAAGAAGCCAGGCATAATTACATTTGTTACCTTCCCTTAATCATCAGGACAATTCTACAAAGTAAATACTCTCTATCCCTATTTTATAGAAAAGGGAATTGAAGTTTAACAATTATGTCCCCTTTTCTTAGCTGGTCAGGACAAGAAAAACCTGAATTCTTAAGGTGATGGATTAGGTCGTGGCTGGTGGAATGTGTGGACTCATGGCGCCATTACGGCACCTTCCTCTTTGAACAGCCTCTTTGATCTGTGGTGTCAATGATAGGTTCTCCTGCATCCATGCCCTTTTCTCCCTTTCTCACGAAGGTTTTCTGAGAAGCACAACTTCGCCAAACCTAATGACAGCCGTGCCCTCCACCTAATGACCAAATGTGCCCAGACGGTAATGGAAGAACTGGAGGACATTGTGATTGCGTATGGACAGAGTGACGAGTACAGCTTTGTGTTCAAGCGGAAAAGCAATTGGTTTAAGAGAAGAGCCAGGTAATCCCGTAGCCCAGCTCCTTCAGAATCTGTCCTGTCAGCATCTGGTTTCTGCTTATCTTAAACTCAGACTTGCAGACCATAGATGACGTCTGCTGTGTCTGCAACGGCACAATGTTTGTGTATTCCCGTTCGGACTGTTGTCCTTTGATCTGGTGTCTGAGCATTCTTTCTGCTCCATTCCCCATCACCTTGGATTCTGGACTGATTTGGCATTGAACATTAAGACCAGAGAAATAGACCATGGAATATGATATTATGATTCATAGGTTGGCTTTAGCCAGTGACAGTCTACACAGGTATTGCAGTATTACTTAAACTTTTAATAAAGGAGGATTTCAGACAAAACAGGCAAATCTCATATTTGAGTATTTTCAAACTCTTGCGGGAAATAAATCATGTAAGAAATTGGTATTTTTTATAACAATGGTTTCTCTCCTTTCAAAACTTAGAAAAAAATACCTCTTGAACCATAAAGTCACATTATATTGTACAGAAAAAATTCATGTTAGTAAATTATTTATAGGACTAGGGGGAGAGGCAGGCTACAGTTCAAATACATAACTGAAATATTAAAGTAGTTTTTCTTGGTTCCTCATATTTTATCTGTAGGTTTGTGGGCCAGTTTGTGTAATCTCTCTGTCACACCCACAGGCCCTATCAGGGTGTTGAGTTAACGTCTTGTCTGTTCTCTTTTCTTGCTCCACCCATTGTGCCTTACACTCGCAAGTAAGTTTATGACTCACGTGGCCTCCCAGTTCGCCTCCAGCTTCGTGTTTTATTGGCCGGATTACTTTCAGGACCAGCCCCTTCTGTATCCCCCGGGCTTTGATGGAAGAGTTGTGCTGTATCCTAACAACCAGACCTTGAAGGACTATCTCAGCTGGCGGCAGGCGGATTGTAAGTGAAAGGAATTGAACAGATGCAATTAAAACACCAATTCCAGACATGAGAAGTAGTAATCTGGCACAGGTTTGGCCTGCATGTATTTTTGTTTGGAATGAAATATTTAAAAAATTTTTTTTAATTAGTTAAAAGTAATTGAAAAATTTGGAGATTTCAGGTAAATACTATTTCCAGCTTTTTTTTTTTAATTGGAAGATCTGGCGGTAGTATATCTATATTCCCACTTATTGTTGGACAGAACCTCTGCAGTGGCTGCTGCCTTTACACACACACACACACACACACACACACACACACGAGTCAGTGTGCCACAGTCTCCACCAGCCCCTGTTCCCTCTCAGGGCAGGGGACAGGCCACCTACTCGGGTTTGAGATGTTACTCCTGCCCTACATGATTGTGATGAAGTATTGGTGAGACTTTCTCCTTTGGTGTATCTTGGTTTTGCCAGAAGAACTGGAAAAGAGATGGGAACAGTGAAAATCCCATAACCTGGAATGTATACCTAAGCTTAGTGCACAAGTTAACAGGTTTGTGTAAAGCATAACTGAAATGACAGAATAAAAACTCTTAGGAAATAAGTGTGTTTCTGGTTGCCCACTCTCCCCCATGTTTCCTGTGTATGGTTTTGGGGAGGTCAGTAAATATCTCTGAGATCTCTTTCCTTTAAAAAGGATAGAGGTGGGGCTCTCGTATACTTTGAGGCATGAATACTGAATAAAGATCATATATGTATAAACAGTGCTACTTTATTCTCTTGACAGGTCACATCAATAATCTCTATAATACAGTTTTCTGGGCACTCGTACAGCAGTCTGGACTAACACCAGTACAAGCCCAAGAGAGATTACAGGTATAAAAGTCTTACTGTGTTAAAGCTTAACTGTAGTCTTTCCCATGATACTTTGCATTCTTTTAAAGCTCTCTCTACAGCTTTGTTTTGAAAGCATAAAAAAATCAGACTAGTGGCAGCTCTGCTGCTTGCTTGTGCTGTGATGCTCTGTGAGTTACTTCTACTCCCTGAGCCTCAGTGCCCTCCCCTGGAAGATGGAAGCAGTGACATTGGCCCTGCATTCCCACGTGGTAGCGCTTGGCTGGAGCTGAGCTTTGACTGCCCTCTTTAGGCAGGGCATGTGCTCTTCTTTTTCTGCCAGTCCCACCTGACCTCTTCCCTCATGGCCAGGCCCTGCTGGACACCTGCAGTTTCTCAGGTCTGTGACCCCAATGTGTTGTAAAGCGTCTGGGCTCTGGGAGTCAAGTAATTGTACTCATGTCATGTTTTTTTTTATTTTATCCCCTCTGACTTAGTTTTCTAGAGGTAAAATGTAAAGAGTAGTAGTTCCAACCCCATAGGTTATGGTGAGAATTAAATGATGTGATGCCTGTAAAACACATAGGGTAGTACAAAGTACATTGTAAGCACTTAATAAACACTGGCTTTTGTTATTAGATGACAGTGCTAACTTGTACAGCATGAAATGATGAATTGCAACAGCTCTTAATGCAATGTCTGGTCCTTTATAACTATTCAGTAAATGGTTACCATTACTAAAAATAATGATAAATATGTATATATAGGGTCTGGCGCAAATAATGCCCCTTTTTTATTACAAAATCATAAGCATGTAATTCTGTAACATAACTGTCACACTCAAGCACACTATATGACATTTCAGGCGAATGTTCACATTAAAACCATAAATTATTACATCTATATTATTACCCTACCAACCACACTCAACAGGTGTTACTTCTGCCAGATGCTGTATGGCAATAATAGAAATACTAATAGGTCTGTCCAGCTTGGAAGAGCCAAGTTTAGATTTTGATTTCTCTTAGAAGAATAAGAGCAACCTATAGTCTTGGGGAATTTGTGTACACTCTCTAAGCTTCAGAGTCCTCATTTCCAGTATGGAAATGGTTATGAGGGTCAAATAAGCAAATAAACATAAAGCATCTAGTACAGAACAGGTGTCTCACTGTTCCTGTCCCCCTTCACCATCATGACCGGGAGGACTTTGCTACAGAAGAGATTTATTTTTTAGCATTCAATATTATTCTGTATTAGTTGCAAGTATACAGCATAGTGCTTAGCAGACGAGAATTTCTTGAATTTATACATCCAAAATTGGAACTGCGCTTAAAATGCAAATTCTTCACTATCAAAAGATGCTTGGTAGAACACTTCCACTTCTTGAGTTGTTTGTGGAAGTTTAGGTCGAGGTAGAATGGTACGGTTAGGGGTTAGGGTAGAGATAAGACATACAAAGCTTTGCATATCTGTTTTTATTTTCTCAGGGAACTCTTGCAGCAGACAAGAATGAAATTTTGTTTTCTGAATTCAACATCAACTACAATAACGAGCCGCCGGTGTGTAGGAAGGGGACTGTGTTGATATGGCAAAAGGTAATGCTCAGGCCCTAAGAAAAAGGAGGTCAGGGAAGGAGAGAGTCCATGCCGTCCTGAGTTTGTCTTCCTTGCCGCCTGGTGCTGCCGTGACTGCAGCTGCTAACACGAGTTAGGCCCTTCCCCAAACAAGAAGCTATAGATTTACTATTTCAATGCTTTTTTTGTCAGTCCATGCCCATTGTATCAGTTTGTCAGTGAACTTTGTGATCTTGAATCTCTCCTGTAAGTAGAATCACAGAATTTTAGACCTGTGACACTTACTTTTCTGTATCATAATCTCTCCTCAAATCAAATAAAACCCTGTTAAAGGGTTACAGTGCAGATATAAGGAGTGTTGCATTCATAACACATTTAAAGAATATTTTCTCCTACACTGGATAATACCACTGAATGGTCCATCCATCCTGTGGCACCTGTAATAAGAGGCCCTAAGAGATGTTGATGTGAGGGTTCTGATACTTGCAGAATACTCAGGAGATTCCCCAGACATTCATACTTACCTTAATGTTCCGTAATGAGTCTGTGCATTTACCTAAATCCTTCATTCTACCAGTACTTTCCCTCTGTGCCAGCTCCTGGCCACAATGACTTTCTCTAAATGTATTTCCTTCCATCCGAAGTAGTTTTTCTGAAATGAATGTTTTCAAGTATTAAGGGGAACCTTGGGAGCTAGTCAGTCATTCCACTAGCAACTTCAGCTCTTTTACTAGTTTTTTTAAAGCACATTTGTTCTTTGGAGACTTCTTAATTGCAGGTGGGAAAACAAAACTACCATTAATTCTATAGTTATTCTTAAAAAATACTTTACAGTTATTGCTAACAAGGAACAAGAACTCTCTGTTCCTAAGATGTTCTTTTAGAATATAGCAACATAACTCTTTTTAGAAGTATTTTTAATTATAAAGAAATTCGTGTATGTTGAGATATATGTGTATCTGTATATCTCTGGTAAATATATGTATGGCAGAAGTACATAAAGTAAGAAAACGAACCTCCCTCACATCTCCCCCTTCTCTCCCAAGCCCACTCTTGAGTTCACAGTGTCAATATTTTAACTTACCTGTAGGTGGGAGAAGTTACGACCAAAGAAGTTAAGCTGCCCGCAGAAATGGAGGGGAAAAAGGTGGCAGTGACGCGGACCAGGACTAAGCCAGTGCCCTTGCACTGTGATATCATCGGGGATGCCTTCTGGAAGGAGCACCCAAAGATCCTGGATGAAGACAGCTGACCCTGCGCTTTCCTGTTCTGCTGTGCTTAACCACGGAAGGCCCCCCAAGTCTTCTGGCCTTAGGTGGCCCTAGTATCCCTGCTGCCCAGAACAGTGTCCCAGGCGTGACATGGCTGTGGCTGGGAGGGGAGCAGGGAAGGAATGCGTGGATGGGGTGAGGGATCTTGTTCTTTAAGTGGAACGCCTTTTTTGCAGTGTTAAAACATGGTTCCTTTGGTAGAAGTGCATTTTTTAAAAAAATCGTGGTACTATTTTTATAAAGTGAACTATTTTATGCCTTGCCAAATGAATCATTTTTAGATTATGGCACAAGACTTACAAAAACCTGCCAAGCTCTTTCCACCTATGATACAAGATGAGGCCAAAATTTACTCTGGCACACTTGTTCTTAACTAGAGAATCCAGCGACCTTACATCTCACCTTTCCCACCCTTCTACTTGGCATTCATCTTTGGGAGATGAATGTAGGCCACTGCCTGCAGGCTGTCTCTGAACTCAGGAATTCCAGGGAAAACTCGGCTCGGTGTCAGTCTCCAAGTTGGCAACCTTGGCTGTACAAATGTGTAGTTTGGATGTCCTTAGACAGTCTATAGATTGATTTTGTGGAGTTAATCAGCATGACCATCATCTTGCCAGGGGCATTGTTTGCAAGGCCACTTATGTCTTTCTAAGAAGAGTCATATGTATATTTGAGAAGAAAATGTGTGAGAATGAGTGAACTAGCAGGGAGAAACATTCACTCCATGTCCTTTAGATACTTGTTTTTAAAGTCACCTTGTCACCTGTTGGACTTCCTGAAAAAGATTCTGAGGTCACTTTCGTATAATCAGAAGTGACATTTGAATTGGAGAGCAGAGGGGTCAACACGCCCCTCGGGGTTACCCAGCGCAGGTGTCAGCAGAGTCCCAACATCTCCACCTGGTGCTGGCCGGTGGAGGTGGGATGGGTGAGGTGCCCAGGAAGCTGCAGCAGTAATTTCATGCTGCCCAGCTCTTGGCCTCTGAACGGGGGAGACAGTGGGGACAGGTGGTGGGAGAACTCACATTGCCTCTTGTCCTTGTTTCATATTTTAGAGGAAAGAAGTTATTTGGCTCTATTGAGAACTAATTAAGACACAGCCCGTGTCCCAGTGCCTGGTCTTGCAGAATTTATAGCCAAGAAGAACATGTATTTTTGAAAGAGCAACGGCTGGTCTCACGCCTCTCCAATTGATGCCCCATCTGTCCACGCCGTGTTTTCCTTTCCTGTTCTTACTCCACAGGAACAGGAGATGTAGCTCATGTTTAGCAATTGATAAAATCCCTTTGAGAAGGAAAATAAAGGTTTCAGCTCCCTAGGCCCAATTTTTCATTTATTTTTCTCGCACACAGTATATAAGTCCTACTTGGTGTGTGTGTGTGTGGGGGGGTGTGTGTGTGTGTGTCTGTGTAAGCCAGAACGTACATACCTTTCATCATAGGAGTGGTTCACAGGTTTCTGGGTGCACAAAGGTACCTGGGATGCTTGTTTAAAATGATGACCCCATATTTCCCCATGAAGATTTGGGGTTCAATAATTTGCATTTTAACTCTAAAGAGTCCTGATGACTATGGTCATTGATACACCACATTCTGGGCCACAAGGTATACTGTGATAGGCCAAATAAGGCAATAAATAATGTAGCTCTTGATTGGCAAATAAAAGTGGTAAGTAAATTTATAGCACTTTGTATCAAAACATGGGCATTAAAAGTATAAGTTTTCAAGACAAAACCACCCAAAGAAATGTGCTTTCAATGGACGCTATGCAATACTACAAAGGCGCTCATTTGATTTTGTCATAAGATTCGGGGACAAATGCTTGTTGCTTGAATTGCCAGCAGTTGGTAGCTTTGGGTTTTGTTTTGGCACAGAGTTTTGAGCAAATGAATATCCTAGGCTTAATACTCATGCCATAACTACATCTATAGTGCTATTATTGCTTGACGGTTTTTGTTATTTTGTGTGTATTCATTCCAATGGATAGTGCAGTTGTATAATCATTTTCATCTTTTTTAGGACAGAGAATAGTATTCTCTTGCACTTCCTTTCCAAATCTAAAGAAACTAAGATACACAAAAGCAGCCAGTGTAGAGTTAATACTAGTTGATAGTTTTGAGGAGTGGTGGCAGTTAGATTTTTGTGGCCTGTAGGTAACTGGAACATCTTACCTCTGCTGGATGAGGGGATAATTAATACCTGGGCCTTTAGGGAAGACTATCATTTTACTATTAAAAAATGTTTTGCTGAGCAGAGTGTATAAAGTACAGCCAGTCTTGTAAATCCTTCATCCTGTGTTCCAAGAGCAGGATCATTTCCTCCAGTTGCTCAGCAACGCTTAGAAAATCACTGATATAATGATTTTTCTTTAATACTAAGATTTCTGTGTTAGTGCAAATTACTTTTTAAATAGGATGTAGGAAATGGAGGACTGGGATCCACCCACTCTTCATTATTTCATTGTGCACTTAACCAATATTAGCTAACATTCATAGAGCATTTATGCACTCGGCACTGCATCTTTCTTGTTAGGGCAATTCTAGGACGTAGCAACTATTAGTCACATTGAAGATGAAAATGTGAAGACCCAGAAAAGCTAAGTAATTTGAGTCCAGAGAGGCTTAACCCCAACGGTACTATTCAGCATGAAAGCAAATTGGGACATTTCTAGTCCTCTTCCTGCCCACTCAAGCTAGGAGTAAACGGCAGTCCCAGCGAATAGAGACACGCCTGGGGAGTTTGTTAACCTACTGGTCCGGGATTCGACCCCAGGGAATCTGGAGTGTTAACGAACACGCTCAGTGAAATACAGATGGGGAAACAGCTTTAAAACAGATTAACCCGTCACCCTTGCCCCGAGCGGTGGGGAACCCTGATAAGCTGCAGCTGCGCGCCACGCCCCTGGAGTCGCAGACCGCGGACTTGTGCTGCCCTCCCGCGGCCGCGCCGGCGCAGTGCGACCCCGCCCCGCGGCTGCGCAGTGCCGCCCTCTGGCGGCCCCGCTCCTTCTTCCCATCGGCCTCAGCTTGCGGGCCTTTCAAACATGGAGGAGCGGGAGCGGGGGGCGAGGTCGCCTGGCGCCGGGAGCCCGGCGGGCCCGCCCAGCCCGCGGTTGGATGTCAACTCGGACAGCTTCGACCCGCTGCTGGCCCTGTACTCACCCCGCCTGCCTCCCATCCCCTACCCCAACGCGCCCTGCTTCAACAACGTGGCCGCGTACGAGACCTTCCTCCGGACGGGGTCCCGGGGCGGCGGGCGCGGGCGGGCGCGGGGCGCAGACCCAGCCTCAGGGGCCTCCGCCGCCGCTCGACCCTCCAGCAGGACCCGCCGCCGTGCGGACGCCGCCGTCCCGGACCCCGAGCGCATCGAGCGCCTCCGCCGCCTCATGGTGGTCAAAAAGGAAGGGGACGAGGCCGACCGGGACAGCCGCCGGCCTCCGGGCCGGAGCAGGAAGGCGCCGCGCAACGTGCTCACGCGAATGCCCTGTGAGTCCGGTGGGCGCGGACGAGGAACTGGCCGGCTGCACGGGAGGGGGCGGCCCAAGGGGCACATGCGGGACGATGGGGACTTGGCGTATTAGGGTCTGTACATTTTAGGGGAAGGGTCTTGTGACGGTTTGCCGAGATGGTCAGCAACTATTGGGGAGGGGGGTTGTGCTTGAGTGCCGTGGGAAATGGGAGCGGTCGTCCAGAGTGATGAAGGATCCGCACGAGCCCTGAGGCAGAGTGGAAAAAGCTGGAGAGGGAATCGGGTGCTATGGGGAGGGTCTGCATAGGTAATGGGTGTCGGTCTGCAAAGGTGGTGGGGTGATGAGGAACCTGCAGAGAGCACAGAGGAATCTGCAGGAATGGGGGCGGGGGGCGGGTCTGGAGAAGTGGGGCCTGGAGACCACAGGAAGGGTTTGCAGAGGTGACAGCAGGTCTTGGGGGCCACAGACGGAGGAGGTGGTACACAGCTAGCATTAGGGGAGTGAGTGGTCAGTGGGGTGTGGGAACGATGGAAGGGAGTGTGGGGAGATGTGTTCAGATGGCGCAGGGGGACATAACCTCAACCCCTGCACGTTAAGTGACAGCTCCTTCTCCGGTGCTGTAAGTAGAAGGGTCACAGACTCTCGATGTGCACCTGTTCACTTTGCCAGATCTCAAGTGCTAGAATGCAGCAGGCACAGATGCCACTAAGACACAGACACTGTTTTACAGCTCTTGGAGCCTCCTAATAGATCCTTAGAGCAAAGCTGTAAACAGCAGAGGTTGCTAATGTGTGAATTAGGTCTTGTATAAACGGAATAAAAACAGCCCAGGGTTATATCTTTAGTCATCTGGCAAGCAGTTCTGACATCTGCCAGGTGAATGCAGTGACCTACTTAGCCATTCAGAGCATCTATGTCCTGATAGCTGAATTGTGACATTATTAGATCCTTGCCTTCGGAATGGAGGGTTGTGCTAAGCAAGAGTATATTTTGTTTTATTCCTAGAAATGTGTTTATTTAGAGAGAAACATCCTGGAAAGCTGTGTGCTGTTGGGGGTGCCTCTGTCAGGTGGTTCACCTTGCCAGAGCAGCCTTGCCCAAGTTTAGGGTTCACCCCACATTGCTTGTCCTGCAGTAGCACAAAGATGGGGTATCATGTTCCTAAAGTAAGAGCAGTTTGGGGGACCTGGTTTTGCCTCTATTTTTTGCCACATCAGGTCTTTGAAATGTGCCCCAGGTCTCAGCATGTAACATTCCTTTCCATTTTGCCAGTTATTGCTTTGCCACTGAGATTGTCAAGGAAAAGAAATATTTCTATGTGGCGGACGGCTTTCCCTTTACCTGGGGAGCACCTGTGCTGTATGTATTGTTCTGGCAGAGCGTGAAGCCCAGCTTTGTGGATTTACCACTTTAAAATGTATGCCAGGAATCAAGGCCTCGGTTTGCTCTGAAAATTCTAGTCATGCCACTGGAAACAGTAGTGTGTGTGTACATGACGGAGATAGGTAGGCGTCACAGAGAGTTATGACCTTCAGAAAGCAAAATAATAACAACAAAAAACCCCCAAAACCAAAACAAAAACAGAAGCATGGATGAAGACTAGATGTATTCAAGAAAGAGTTCCTGTAAGGGTAAACTTTAGGTCTTGAAGGCCTAAAGGCAAGGCCTTTGAAGGCCTTGAAGGCAAGGAAGACCACAGTTCCAGATACCAGTAATTATTTGAAAATCAGGCTGTTGAGGTGTAATTTACGTATAGCGAAATACTCCCTTTTCATGTTTTGAAATCACCACCACAGTTAAGATACAGAACACTTCCATCACCCAAAAAGGCTCCTTGTGCCCCTTTGTAAGCCAGGTGATAATTCTATTGCTGCTGATTGTAGCTACTATTATTTTTTTTTAATTTATTTATTTTTAGAGCGGGAAGGGAAGGAGAAAGAGAGAGAGACAGACAGACAGACAGACAGACATCAATGTGCGGTTGCTGGGGGCCCTGGCCTGCAACCCAGGCATGTGCCTTGACTGGGAATCGAACCTGCGACACTTTGGTTCACAGCCCACGCTCAATCCACTGAGCTATGGCAACCAGGGCTATAGCTACTATTATTGAGCACATATGTGCTCTACATTTTGCTAAGCTCTTTAAATGCATTGTATCTCATTTTGCCCTTAGATGCAACTTTGTAGATGAAGAAACTGAGGCTCAGTTATTACCTTTTAGGGCCCCCTAAAGGGCCCTAAAAGCTGGTTAGTTTGCAGCTGAGAATCCTGGGTTTGTCCAGCCCCAGGGCCTCTGTGCTTACCCCGTACGCTCATCTCAGGGGAGGAGGAGGAGAGGACGTCATTCTTGTGCTTCCTTGTGTGCTCGTTTTTTGGTGTGTGGGGGGTGCTGCATGTGTGAGGCTGAGGGTGTGTATCCAGAGCAGTGAGAGTGGAATTTGGGTCCAGAGAGGGACCTGTTGCTAGAATCCATGGAAGAGCCAGCTGGAAGAGTTTCTGTTCGACTTTGTGATGATAGAGAGTGGGAACCGTGGAGTGTACTCTTAAGCAAAAGCACTTTCAGAGCAGATGTTTTAGGAGCTAAGTTTCTGGCGGTAAAACGCATTTGAGGGTGGAGAAGAACGCAGGTTTGACTGCCTCTGTGTGAGCACCGACTGCCCCGCTGCCAGCTGTTTCAGTTTAGGCCAGTCACTTAGACCCTTGGGGGCCCCAGCTTCCCCATATGCGAAGGGAGGACCACGATAGACTCCATTGTGGTGAGGTTTAAATTAGTTAACACCTCTAAAGCACTTACAACAACAATCTTCCTTAACATGCAGGAAGGTTCTCGGGGGAATGTGAGATGTCCCTGGTAGACTGCCATCAAAAGCTTTGGTCAGGGTGCATGTACTCTGCCTCTATTGGCTGTTGGCTCAGCTGTTTACTAGGTAGGTGGGTGACTTTGAGCAAACTATTTCAACTTTCCTGAGCCTTGATTTCCTCACCTATAGACTGAGTGGAAATAAGGCTACCTATGTGTTAGTTGTGACGATTAAAGAAAATAGTGGTACATAAAGTTAAACTTACCACAGGGCGTGGCCCATACTGAGGGCCTAGTAATTGGTGATAATGATGGTGACAGTGATGATGGTGATATGGTTGGTTGTGAAGGAGAAAGGTCTTAGTTATTGAGAATCTCTTGTTTGAATTTTGTGATGGCCATGAGCAGGGAGAAAAGTAAGAGAGGAGCTTTTCAAAGTGACCTGGATTTGGGAGGGTGTGGCCCAAGCACAGTGGCAATGGAAAGGGGGGTTTAGAAGAAAAGTTTTCTGCAAAAAAGGTGCTTTTTTTTTTTTTTTGCCTTTGGTCATATTAAGTTTTTATTAGCTTAGCTCATACTTATTTGGAGTTTGTCACAGAGGCGGCTGGAAAGAGGTCGAGAACGTGAAGCTCATTTTCGCCTTGGCAGGTTGCTCTGATGGGTGGTGCTGGTGTTGCACCTTTGATCACAGAGGGAGAGAAATGCTTCCTGGAACGACACCTTATTACACTTTTGGAAGGAAAAAAAATCAAGGGAAAGACACAGATGTGAGAGATGAAAGACCTGAGTTTCCTGTTGGTTTAGTTAGAATAGAGGACTTGTTAAGCCACATGCTTGTCCTTCCTCTTTGATTTGGGGGTGTGCAGGGAGAAGCAGTGCCCTATTTGCTTCCAACTTAGATACAGAATGGTCTTTCCATTCTTTGTGGAAACACATGTGTAAGGGGGTGAGGTGGGGGCAGTGTCTGTGTATGTAGGCAAAGCGAGTAATCCAAGCACTGTAATCAGTTTTCTAAGTATTTGAATTATGGAGATTTATTCCTGAGTCTAGAAGCTAACTAGTCCTCTAACTTTATTTTATGAATGAGGAAACTTGGACTTGTAGAGAGAAAATTATTTACCAAGGTCACACTGAAAGTTGTTTACAATGTTGGATTTAACAGTTTGTAACACATATCCAGATACATGTACACCCACACACACACACCAAAGGGTCCGAGAATTTTAGACTTGCTAGAGGAAGAGTAGATGATGAAGGTCAGACCAAGGTTCTCACGTTCCTTTCCAAGGCTGCTGTTTCTGCCACTCTGTATCACCTGGTGCCTTCTTGCTGCATCTTCAGTCTGACATAAGCTCCTACTTCTCACTTTATGCCACTTTCTTTCAAGAGTATTTTCTTTTATTAATTTATCACTGCCATCATTTATAAGCCCATCCGTGAGTGAAGAACAAGGTCAAGAGTAACCAACAGAGTTATCCGAACCAAACTGTAGACCTATTGTTCTATTTTTGTGCCACTAGAAAGAAAACCGTCATTTTTTGTTTGTTTACTTTCAATGGCAGTGACCTCCAAAGAATTCTGCCTTGCAAACTTGGGAGGGAGGGAAAGACTGAGACTGTACGCATGAATGTGCGAGTGTGTGTGTGAGAGAGAGAATGTGTATGTGTGTGATTTTCTTTTGAGAGGTTGTATATACTATGTAGTATAGGCAGCAAATCATGAAGGGTAAATTAACATGAAATAAAAAAATTCATCTCTGTTCCCAAGCTCTGCAAAAAGAATCCGTCATGGTAAAAGCTGATAGTATCATCCCGGCACTCTTATGCATTGCCACACTGCTCTTTTTACGTGATGCTCATCAGCAGTCTCATGGCAGCCAAATGTTTGGTAGGTGCCTTTCCCCCAGCAAGGCTTGGAATACAAGCAGGTGCGTGACTGCTAGTGTGAAGGTGATGTATATTGAAACACTTCAGACATAAGAAGATTTTTGGTGCTTTGGAGGGCTCAAGCTGGATATGTGGCTCACAAGAATTATCCTAAAAAACATCTTAACAAGACACAGAATGAGAAGAATCTAGCTGCTGTGTACATTTAATGTGGTATTTCTTTTTTGCCCAGAAAGGTTTTAAATTATGATGCATCTTAGAATCATAGACTCTGGGATGTACAGAAGGCGAAACTTTTGGATGATAGCCATTCACATGGTTTATCCACATTGTGTTGGAATCTAGTCTCATTCCAGTGTGTGTTGTGTGTTGCCTGTAACAGCCATATTGCCCATTGGGCTTCCCTGTCCCCACAGTGAGGCTGCCACTGCACAGTGCTGCCTTGTGTTGCTGGGACGGATGGGTGGCCTTGGTTGTCAGTTCTGGGAGTGAGAGCAGATGTTCGTGCTACGCTGACTGTTCTTCTCTTGTTTCAGTGCACGAAGGCAGCCCTCTGGGTGAGCTCCATCGCTGTATCCGGGAAGGGGTGAAGGTGAACGTTCACATCCGCACTTTCAAGGGGCTTCGGGGCGTCTGCACGGGCTTCCTCGTGGCGTTTGACAAGTTCTGGAATATGGTAATTGAGCCTTCCGCAAGGGGCTGGAAGAACCTTTGGGGATTAAATCTTTTATAAGTCTAAAGGTCCTGAGTAACCTTATTCAGCAAAACCTACAGAATAACTTCCCAGAAAAACTAGAATCCTTACACTCTCTTGGGAAGCCACAAAAAGGTTCTTTTTATTGTTTTCCTTAAGGCAGTGACTTTCAGTTGGGTAACTTTGCCCTCTCTCCCTCCCAGGGACATTTGTTAGTGTCTGGGGACATTTTTTTGATTGTCACACCGTGGAACAGGGTGCTCCTGGCATCTAGTGGGTAGAGGCCATGGGTTTTGCTGCATGTCCTACAATGCAGACAGCACCCGCCAACAACAGAAATGTATCCAGTGCAGAATGTTTTTAATGCCAAGGTTGAGAAATCCAGCCTTAAGGAATAATGACTTATTTCACCTGTTTAGTAATTTTACATTGATTTCCTATTAAAAATATTTATCGGCATCTCACTTTGGCTTGGCACAATGCTAAGTACAGAAGTTTCAGGAAGGAACTGTCACTCTTCTGTTTTTGGAAAGATAGAAAAAATATAATAAAGATTACATTTTTTAAAAAGAAAGATAATACTTTGCATGGTGTTTGCTTATGAAGAAGTGTACACACACTCCCAGCCTTCTAGAGGCTACTGTTTACTAGACACTTGAAGAAAAGAAGGGATATGTTATGACATAGCACAATGTAATGTGAGGCATTTAAAGTAGGAGCCACCAGGGCTTCCTGGTGTTTCTCCTCCATGTGGTCATCCGTCTCCAACTTTTCTCTTCCCTGCACTTTGTCTGCATCCATGCATTCCCCTGCATAATAATAGTAGTTACTAATATTTAGTAAGTGCTTATGTGCCAGATACTATACATATATAATAAGAACTTTATATATATATTATTTCAGTGAATGAATTGCAGATATATTTCTGTTTCATTTCACAAATGAAGGGGTTGAGGCTACAGATTTTGGAAGATTGGTCCAGATCACACTGTTAGTAAATGGAAGTACTAGGACTTTATTTTAGTTCTTTCTGACTTTTAAAACCGTGTTAACCATCATGGAATCAGAAAACCTGGAATCGAATCCTAACTTTACCACTTGGTAACTGTGTGACTCTAGGCAAGGTAATTTCTGAGGCTCAGTTTTCTCACCTCTAAAATATGAAGAAATATATTTTATTATAATTTTACCTTTGAAGGAAAAGGACTTAAGAGAACATATGTAATGACAGTGCTGATAATCATGACACTGTCAGCTTATATTTGTACAGTGATTTACACTTTTCAAAGTAGTTTCTCACACAGGATCTCATTTGATCCTGACAGCTGTCCTGTGTGGCTGATCTCTCAATGGTGAGAATTCACCAGTAATTCATTGTATAACTCTGGTCAGTCTCTGTTAATTGCTTCATAAAACTTAGAGACTGGAAAAGGAGAAGAGGCAATTAGTAGTGCTTCTCAAAGTGTGTCTAAGGCTGTCCTGCGGCAGAGTCACCGGGGATTTCTGGTTAAAACAGAAAGTTCCTAGGCTTCATCCCGACCTGCTGAATCTGAATCTCTAGGACGGTAGCAGCCTTGGATTCATACTTGAATAAGCTTCCTAGAGTTTATGCACAGTGAAATTTAAGAACCTCTCTGCAGTTGTAAAGGCCCCTTACCACAGTAGAAATTCGTCTTATATGGTCGTAGCCACTTGGAAATCCTACTTAGAGGGTGCCAGGTATTACCATTTTTTCTCTGCCCAGTGGCTGAGTCACCTCTTAAGTTTAATTACGCTACAATTAGATGTTATTCTGCGTTTAAAATTTTTTTGAGAGCTATAGAAATAGTATTTTTTATCTCTGTCTTATTTTCCCCTTTGGGCTGTTTCTCTAGGCACTTACTGATGTGGATGAGACCTACCGAAAGCCTGTCCTAGGCAAAGCGTATGAGCGGGATTCTTCATTGACTCTCACCAGGGTAGGCCATTTCTCCTTACTTCCTGGGCACCCAGCACGCTTTCAGCTTAGGAGTTAAAGTCACTGAGCCCAGTGAGCATGTTTCCTAGTGGGAAAGCCGTAGCGCTGCCAGCCAGCTGTGTCTGGCCCAAGGTCTTCCTCAGGCTGTCTTCTTATGCTTCCAGCTAATATCAGATGAATTCATGCTTCTGACCTGCAATAAGTTACCTCTTAGAGGGCCTAAAAGTCTTTCTCTTTTACCCTGTAGAAATAAGCAGGTGCCTTTTCTCTTGACATACTTGCTGATTTATCTGAGTTATGGGTAGAAATAGAAAAGTCATTGCTAACTTTTTAAAAGTTGTGAAGCAAGTTGTCCACAGAGCACAATGAAAGAATTTGGTCTTTTTTCTGTATATTGGAATAGGGATGCTAAGGGCTAATACTTGTCATTGCTTTCCTTGTAGCTATTTGATCGACTAAAACTTCAGGATTCTTCCAAGAAGGAGGCAGACTCTAAGTCTGCAGTTGAAGACTCCACTCTGTCCAGATACTCCCAGACATCCACTTGGAAGGTAGCGTCAGTGTGGGGAAGAGGAGACACTGACCGGGGTTCACGCAAACCTTCCCGCTCCGTTCCTTCCTCCCTGCAGGCGTCCACAAGGGAGGAGTCCCGGTCCGAGCTGTCAGGGAGGACTCTGCGGACAGAAGGGTCTAGTGTGGGAGGTACCTTTTCCAGAGCTACCACACTTTCTAGGGGCCAGTCCCGTAAGAAAAAGAAAAAGCCCAAAGTAGATTACCAAAAGGTATTCACTAGACACATAAATCAGATTTTCATTCGAGGAGAGAATGTCCTGCTGGTTCATCTGGCACAGTGACCGCTCAGCCTCACTTGAGCTTTGGCTTTTAGAAATAAAATGCATGAACTGCTGCTATGCTGTATCCTAGTGTCCCAGTGAATCCCTGAGTCGGAATGATTCCCTCTGGTACTGCATGTGTTGAGGAGGTAGCCAGGCTTGGGCTCTCGGGGAGATGAGCGCCCTCAAGGGAGACAGGTCTTGGGAGGGTGGGCGTTTGCATGAATATCAAGGCTAAAGCTGCACACGGGCACATACATCTGATTTGGGATTGTGGTCTACTTCAAACACTCAAACCAAAGATAAGACCTTCCATTTGAATCAGGAGTTATGTTGTCAGTTGAGTTCACCCCATGGACTCCATAGCATGGGGGAAAGAAACTCTCGTTGTACAAGGTGGTGCGCTGAGTACTCATGAATTCGAATCTAAGAGGAGCAGTATACCCTGCCATGGAGCCCTGCACTCATATTTTGTAACTGACTGTTAAATTTTGCTCTATACCATTTTCTCTTAATCAGGAACTGTAATCTGTGGATATCTATAAGAGCTCAGAAAGCTGCCAACTTATGTAAGGGTAAAATATGAATAGTTGGTGTGCTTAAAGCAGCCAGCAATGAATGCCCTGTTTTTATCCCTCTCCTTATTATGGAAAGGAATAGGGGACCTCAGTGGTCTTTCCTTACCAGTGGTAACTTCTGTGAATGGCATACCAGGTGGGACTGTAAGAGGCTCACGTGGTGGCTTCTTGTCCTTCTCTCTAACTTCTGTGGCATGGTGCTAATGCATGTACCCTGTGTATTGCCCCTTTCTGACCTGTCCTGTGAGCTTTATGGCAAGGGACTGTGACCCTCATGTCTGGCTTCAAAGAGAGTGCTGCATGAACTCAGTAATACACATGTGTCATACAGCTGAGAGTCCCCTTTCCAGGCAGGGCTGGCCCAGTGTAGAATATCTTTCCGAATGGTTTTCCACGGGGCAGTGGTGGTAGTTTCATTATTTTCTTGTGTCAGGCCAAAGAGGTTCTCACAAACGACAGTGGTGCTGCCCGAAAGGGGCACCTTGCTCACAGCCTGACGGCAGTCGCAGGAACACCACAGCGCTCGCTAATGCTGCTTGAGTCATGGTCACGTGCGGAATAGGCGACATCGCGACACAGACTGTTAGGCAATATTGTTTTTTGTTTTGTTTTGTTTATATTTGGTTTTATTGTAGGTAACTCATGTTCAAAGCGAAAATAAGAAATAGCTACTAGTTAAAATGCTTGAAAAGAAAAATTTCTCCTGCTGTATTGGTTGTGTGACTTAGATAAGCCTTTGAAAAGCAGGGTTAATAGAGTTTATGGAGCCAGGATGCCTTGTCCTTCTGCTAGCTGGGTCACGGGCTCATTGTATAACAAAAGGAGAGCAGGCTTAGTCCCTCTGTGCCTCTGTTTTTCCCTGTCAGACACTTTCCTCACAGGGGCACTGAGACTGTTTTAGGAAGGCATTTCAAACTTTCTGAACATGTGTAAGTGCCATGAGTGGTTTTTATTAACTCTATTTCATAGTTCGGTAAGAAATCTTACAAGCAAGGCAGGTGCCACATAAGGAAGTGATCCCTGTAGGTGTCATAATTATGATCTTTCTGTGGTCAGAAGGCAGTGATATCTTCAGGAACTATTTTCCATGTTCCATTCCTTTCTTCTAAGGGACAATGGATGTTTCAGAAGAATATCTTCAGTAAGAGGAGAATAACATTTCTTTGCTGTGCCCCCTACATCCTAGCCCCCACTATCTGATCATTGTCAGACAGAATTCCCCTGAACTTCCTAGGGGTTTATATGACAGTACCAGAGGGAGAATGAGCATCGAAAAATGACACATCCCCACAAGGGAATTTGTGGAAACTGTTTTGTTTATTTATTTTTTTTATTTTAAAATGTATCTTTATGCTTTTTGGGCCAGAGCAGACCCACTAAACATTCAAAGAGGTTCCTGGTCACAGACTTGGAACAGTCATCTTTGGGACCTGCCAGTCTCATCTCTTCTAAATGGTGTGTCTGAGATCTTGGCCCTCCAGTTAGCAGTGTCGTGTTAGCCCTGCGGCCCCCAGGCTCTGCCTCTGCACTGGCCCGCCCATGTCCGGCCGTCCCCATCTGCCTCCCCGCTGGCTCCTTGGCCGGGAGCCGTGATGGATGCTAGGTCCTCCCAGTACAGTTGAGCTTTGAAACGAGAAGGAATATAATCAGTTTCTATTCATTCTAAAGATTTAATCATGTCTGACTAAATCCAACCTGATTTACTTTAAACACATGCTTTCTTTCATGTTTGTATACAATTTTCATATATCCATATAGGACTGATGTCCTTTTCTGCCCAACTTGACAATCCCAGCTCTGAAAATTATTATAAAACTGTGTAACCTGTTTTACGTGCCCATTTATTTGTTTGGTTTGGACAGTGATCCCAGAATGAATGAACTATCTAATAATGTGCTTTTTGTACAAAGTGTGATACTTTTTTAGAAAAGTCAGTTTTTAAAAATCATTGCCTTTTTCCTTATTATTGGAGAAATTTTTCCTGAGGAAGAAAAAATAGGTCCTAACAATGTGTATGCTGCTCAAAACAATGTGCTAATCCAGACCTTACAGTGAACTGCTGTGGAAATGACTGAGTCTCTCTCGGGAGGGGGGAAGGGGCAGAACGGTAGGGTCCCAGGGTCTGAGCCCCCACCGCTCGCCCCCAGGGGCTCGGAGCAGCTGGGGAGCAGCATGGCCAGCTTCGGTGTTCTCCCGGAGACTTGGGTTGGGGAACGTGGTAGGAAGAGCACTTGTTTTTGAACATCCAACTTTGGTTCTTCAGAGCAATCCCTAAACTTGGGGATGTGTTCTCTAGACATTTTCACAGGGCATACCTCTTTTCCTGTTGAGGCGCTCCCAGGAGTTCCCAGCTTTGTTAGGTAAGAACAAGGGATTAAGAAATGGAAGATAATGGTTTCAACACCCAGAAACCGTGTGCACTCTTTGCACATAGAAGTAATTCCACTGTCTACCATGAGGAGGACTTGCACCTCCGCTGGTTCGTTCTAGTGTCTGGGACGCATTTCTGCTTCCTTTCGGGACCATCTTACGGCAGAGGTGGGCCGTGGGGAGGCAGGCAGTGAGCGGCGGTGGCGGCGGCGATAGCCTGCTCTCTGTGCACAGAGCGTGTCAGGTCAGAAAGCCCAGATGCCATTAGTGGTGAAGTGTAGGTGCATCGGAATTCTATCTCTGAGTTGTCAGTGGATCGGGAAGGCTTTTTATCTATTTCTGTGGTGAGACAGTCCAGGAGCACTTCCAGAGACTGCCAGGTCGTGAGCTGTGAGCTGCCCTGAATCCTCAGAGGCCTTCCAGAAATGTGGGTGCACTGCTTCTATCCCTTGAGAAAGCATAAAAACCTGACTTGGTGAAGAGGACATACTCGTGTTCCTGTCTGCACTGTACCTGCAGCAGCTGGCACGGGTAAAATCGTGAAATAGAATAGATTCTATAAATTACTTCTTTAAATTTTGTCTTTAGAAAAAAAATAAATTATTCAAAGACAGCTGGCTGTCACTGGTGCTGCTCTAGAGTTTTCCAGTCCTTTGTGTAGTTTTTTATGAATGAGATGATTGCTGTGGGAAGGTCAAGGTTTATATAAGGGTATCATGGTATAAATGTAATGGTTTCCCAACTGTTGTAATTGTTCTTTTCCTGTGTCAAATACAGAATGCAGTCAGCCCCTTTTCAGTAACTTCTGTTCATCAGCCCATGTTTTTCTGGGCAGTAACTGCTAGAAGGCTTTTCTTAGTAATTGTATAGCAAGAATATCTTATCTGGGCTCATGTTGCAAAGGTGGGTGGTCTGTCATTGCTTTCTGGCTAATTGAGTTGATGGATTTAAGATAAGCCTTTGGGGTTCCTTGCCACTGTTTCCTGGGCTCTGAGGAAGGGTTGGACCTTCGTACTCTCAGTGTTTTGAGTATTTTTTCAAATGTTTGTAAGTTCTCATGCACTCCTCTAGTAAAAATGAAAGCTTTCTGTCAGGAAATGGCTTTGGATAGTTTGGAGATCTGGGGGGGAGGGCAGCGGGGGAAATAAGTACACCTGAGACCTTCAATTGGTCTTTTATTTATTGAGAATAGAAAGTAGTTTGATAAGCAACCGGAGTTAGTGCTGCTTTAAAAATACTCTCTGAAAAGATGGAACTGCTCCTCAGGAAAGCTATAAAAGCTTTTCCCAGGACATTGCAATTGCTTTTGATTTTTGGTCCTTTGGAACAAACGTCTGATGTTATGTTTTTAGAGCTCTGGAGGAAAATGTCTAAAACTTTTACGGGATTTTATTTAAACAAAGATTATTGGGCTGGATCTTGTGGGAGCCGGGTTCTAGGGCAGTTGTCCAGTTCTTCTTCTGTTGTCCTGGCAGTAAAGCGGGTAGTGAGTTCTATCTCGAAGAGTAATTTACTTATTTCATACTGACGCCGTAAGACATGAGCCTCCGGGGCTACCCTGGGGATACTCCCCTGCACCGTGACATATTACTGTTTTTGTAGACAGGGCTAAACCTGGATGACTCTGAATTTAGAGTTTTTCTCCTCATATACCAGCTGCTAAAAGAAAAACTGTGACTTGTAATCCTGTCTTGGAAATTACTCCTAATGTTAAGTTCACCTAACCCCTTCCTGTTTAGGGAGGATTGCTGCTAGTAACATCAGTTTGCATTGTTCTGCTTTAGATATGTGCCATATGGGAGTCTGGAAGCTGGAATAAATATGATTGTATTAATGTACTGGCTGCTTTGTCTCTGCTGATTTGGGTGGGGAGGGGAGAGGAGGCAGGGAGGTCTGTTACCAAGAGAAGATACGGACCCAGAAAGTTAAAACATTTCAAACAATGACATTGTTGTAACCTTGTGCCTTTTCTTTACCAAAGCCACACATCTAGATTTCTATCCTTGGGGTAACTGTTCCTCCAAGTTTATTTAAAGTTCATGCTTAGAAAAGAAACTTGCCCCACATTGTGAACTATTTCTTCTAAGCCCCAAGCAATGGTGATTGCCCTGTGAATTCATCCCACCCTAATAGCTCAGTGGCATTAATTCACTATCTTCACGATCTGCTGAGGTCACCATTGACTGCTCCTTCTGAATGTTTTACTACATCTAATTGATCCTGACTGCTTCCAAGAATATCTGAATTTGCCGTCAGCTTTTCTCTGCATGTAAAGAAAGTTGAACTGTGCAGAGATTTGCCACACTGATTACTTGATCTCCTTAGTGTACTTCCAGAACCCAGTTACCTTGGGAAGATGGACAAACAAATCAAGTTGATTCTTAAAGAGGGAAACCTCGAGTTTACTGTCAAGACCCAGTTCTCCACTTTGAAAGAATATGGTATTAGGTTGGGCTCAGCTGACCTATTACCAGGAAATTTCTAACCACCAAGGAAGTGGAGGAAAGGGAGGCAAGATCCAAATGCTCTAGTTCTGGCTGTTGCTTTTTTGTTCTGCATCTCAAAATGCAAATGAGAATGTCCTCACTAATCAAAATAAAAGCAGAAGAATCAGCTTGACATTTGAAATAGGACAGTTTCAGATGAAACAGTGACGGTTAAATTTTGGCAGGAGAATGGAGGCCAGTGGAATGACATGCATATATCTATCATTCTTTCCCTGTGCTTTTTGGATAGGAGTGGCTAGGAAAGAAAAAGTCTCTTGCCCAACTCCATTCTCTCTTTGGAGGAAAATGAAGCCTTTTCCAGTCTGCTAAGTTACCACTAGGTGGCAGTGGGTTAAAGAGAACTGCTTTCCTAGAGGTCCCAGAAGGACCTATCTCCCCAGATCTCCAGTCACTTCTACAATTAATTGTTAAATGCTCACCAGTCTGGACTGAGATAATCAAACAAAAACGAGCTATAACCAACTCAAGTGGTGATATAAATGTTTCTTACCAATATTGAATTTACCTAATTTGAGGTTAGGAAGCCTGACCGATGGCAGTCAGCCAGTGAACATGCTTGGGGAAGAGTGTTTAGGAGACAAATTGCCCAGTGTCCACTGTTCTAGGGAGTCTCTTGCTACTCTCACATCATGGGGTTCCTCCTTTCACCCTGGAGTACCGTCAGCCTCACCCAGCCTCTTCCCACCTGCTGGCCAAGAATCACAGAACACTGTCTTCGTGCCTCTGGTTCTCAGCAGCTCTGTCTCAATTTCGGAAACAATCCCGTGTATCCAGTATCCAGATGGCCTGGGAGCCCATCTGTGAGAAAGTTGCAGCTCTCTTGTGATTCCACAACCAGAACCGAGCCCCCACAACTGCAAGCACATATGCTGTGGATTCAGAAGAACGTTTGTAATAGACACAGAAAAGTCGGTAGCGTGAGGCCGGGCACGGGGGCAGAAGGAGTGGGTGGCCAGTGCGAGGAAGTCTCAGCACTTCATGTCGAGGCCTTCAAAAGACCTTCCCCTCTTTACCTCAACACATAATTTCCCAGTGGCCTATGGTGAAGAGGAATACAGTACGTGAAATAATAAATAGATGCTGTCTTCAGGTGAATAACTAAAAATAAGATTACAATAAAAAGCTTTGTCTCGTGTGTTTGTGGGCCCTGGTAGCTTGTACCATACTTCACTCAATCACACTCTGTGACTGGGAAGAGGACAGAACGCTCAATAAGAAATACTATCATTTTTGAGTATTTCAACCCTGTGCCACGCATATTACGTGCATTACTTATAACCAGAACGAGAGGAGGATTTTTGTCCCTATTATGTATGGGAGGGACCTGACATGGGTTAAGTAACTTTCCAACATCTCTTTGTTAATGGCAAACTTGCAATTCTGTGTAGGTCTGACTCATAATTTTATTGTTAGTCAATTGCACCTTAAAAATACTTAGATTTCTTAGGTATTGACCAGAAAATTAAGGGCAGGCTGAGTTATCCCCTTAGAGTAACCAGATACCAGAGGGCCGATTTAATCGTGGCTTGTTGGTGTGCTCAAGTGTCTGTAGTCTCTTCTGACTCGGACTGTCCTTTGACGAGAAGTGGGCTCACACTCAGGCCTCCGTGCCTTCCAGAGAGGACCAGGGCAGGGAGGTGGCTGCTAGGTGAGTGCCAGGTGGTTTTTCACCCACCAGTTAGTTTGGCCGTTGGAGGGGTACTGATCCAATGATCTTGTTAAAAAGACTATGGAGTATCTCATGGCCTTTCCCAGCTCTTCAGTATGCCTTTAGAAAACCTGCCATCCCTTCCTTTCCAACACCCTCCAGTACTTGGGAAGAATGCTTTCTCTTAGTCTTGACCATAAATTCACCTTACTTAAAAAAACTCTTCTCAGGGCTAAATCATCGATATGCTAAAGGGGAAAAAAGGGCCCATAGTCTTTCTCCTGAAACCTAAAAGGGGGCGCAAGCAGAAAGGACCGGCAAGTTGTCTGTCCATCTTGTATAATTACCCATCATCTTGATGTGTTAGTTTCCAGAATAAGGCAATCCTGAGACAAGCCCACTATCCCAGGCTCTTCCTCTGGTTACTTCAGAGTCCCAGTTTCTGGAACTCTAAAACAGGCATAATGACATCTGCCTCATAGGGTTGCTGATAGAACGTGTTCGGTCCAGGCAGCAATGACTTACTGTCATTCGTGCTGTCATTGGCTTGCTGTGTGATGTTCAGCAGCTTTCTTTGCTACCCTGTGCTTACATTTCATGTCCTGGGACCAGGCCTGGCAAACAAACAGACAAAAACCAGCATGCGGCCGTCCTTTATTCTTGCGCACAGGTGTCTGAAAGAGAGTTTGCAGGCTGCCTGAGTTCTCCCCACTTCCTTGGCTCTCCCCAGGTTCAAACTTCAGAATATCATCAACTTCCCCACTGCTGGGAGAGCTGTGTGCTCCCCCAGGAATGACATCAGGCTCCATGGGACATTCATTAGTTGAGGTTACGAAAGGACCACAGGGCACTGGAATGGTAATTTCCTACATGGGACCCCAGTGACCCAGAGCAAGCTAGCTCAGCTGGCCTGTGCATGTGGCTAATGAGGGAAGGGTCATGGTTTCACTCCTGTGTGGGCCAATTAGTGTCACGTGGAAAAGCATGCTCTAGGGGCATCAGATAGCAGCCTTACATGTGTGTGGCACTGGTCACCAGGATGGCTCAGTGTAGCCATCATCACTATTGAAAACCCAACCCAAAACCTACATTTTCTTTCTCATTATTACGTAGCCCATTGTTTCCAAAAGTTGGGTCATTTTCAGAACACCTTCATGATTTTTGCCTTATCCTAAGTAGACCACTGCATTTTTTTTATTCAGTATTTTTCTATAAATTGATTCAGTTTTTAGCTTGCACTTAAAAGTGATGGTACATTGCTCCCATCAATGGAAAAGTGGGAAATGTATCCTAAATTGAGAGTACACATTAAAATACAACTAGTGAAATTAAAATGTTTATCTTCATACTATCTGCAAACACCTCCTGAGCCACAAGCCATCAGTGTACTGTGTGTTAATAAATGTTGCAGGTATATAAGCTGTGCATGTGATAATAATACATTGATTTATGATCAAATGGTCACATCAGCAAAAACAGTATAAAGCAATTGTTTTAGTGGTAAGAGTGGGGGTCAGTGATGGGAGTTTCACACTTGATGTGATGGAATTATTCTTGCAGGAATTTTAACACCAGGCATCTTCCTAGTAGCCATAAATATGTAGCTATAAAATCTAAACTCTGAAGAAATCTTAGGCTTAATTGACATCTAGCTTTAGCTCAAAAGTCATGGCTTTTGTTCGCACTCTCCGCTGGTCTCATCATTAACACTGTGCATCTTACACATCCTCATCATTATCGGCCGTTTTATGATTAAACAAAGCACAAACATGCGAAGCAGATGTGTCGTCTTCACAACACCCTTGTTCCCCTCCAGTTATGCCCCAGACCATGCTGATCTCCCCAGCTGGCCAGTTCCTTATGGAGATCAAGATACAACCAATAGTGGTGTTGGTAATAAAAATGTATTCTTCAATTAATTGAGCATGTCACAGCCAGCCCAGTTATGAAAATGTGCACTGGAGGACAGACACACAGAAAACACACACACACACACACACACACACACACACGCACACACACGGGCTTCTTCAGGGTGCAGAGAGAGCTCAACCACTTCCATTTTTGAGCCTCCCAGTACATTAAAAAGAGGAGAAATGTCAAAGCAGAGTGGTAAAGGTGGGGTGTGTTTTACAAATTCAGGTGGAATGATGGACAGCTTTCAGTCCTTTCGGTAATGTGGAAACACAAGGTCGCCTGGGGTGCAAAAGGGCGAGAAGTTGAATAGCTTTCACGTTTCTTCTCGTGTTCCCCATACCGTGTGGCTTCTTGCAGCGGTCACTCATTGTTTCAGTGCTGCTTGCGTTCTGGCACTCTTACAGCTTTCTCATCATCCTTGGAAAGTCATTGTTTGGGAGCAAGAGAGCCAGACCAATTGTGTAGGTGCCAAGACTTACTAAGACCAGAAAACCAAACATGAAGAGGCAGGAATGCAATGGCAGCTTCTTCCATTGCACATGGACATGATGACCACTCCTCTGACCACAGGAACTGCTTCGAATGACTGCTGCCCCACCACACACACAGACACCCCCACTCCCACAGTAAAGAGCAGGGAAAGGACTCCGTGCCATTAGCATCTACAATGTTCTCACTGCTTAATACTTGCTGCAGCAGTAAGGTTGGGCCATTGGGAAGAGTAGTATGTGTATTT